AAAAAAAAAAAATCAACTCAAAATATACAAAACAACTAAAAGCTATGCTTTTTAAACACCACAACCAAAAATTTCGACAACTAATTTTTGCTCCAATCTAAATCCCGAAAAATCAACCAAACGAGTCCATAAATGAGCTCGTGCTCGGCTCATCCGTACTCAGATCGAGCTATAGAAAATTACATAAAAATTTCTACTTTCCAATTGTTAACTAAACGAACTCCGAGCCGAGCTCACGATAATCACCACACAAATTAGTTCACAAAAAAAACCAATCATAAAGGCAATTCAACCACACAATACCGATGTTAAAACCAGACAATAATAAACAAACCCCAAAACAGCAGCAAAAGCAAAAAAGCTCATAACACAAAAGGGAAAAAAAAATCAACTGAATCATACAAAAAAACAACTAAAATCTATGATTTTATTGACTCAGAATTCACAAGAGAACACCTGTGACGGCAGCCTCCAAGCTTCAGATTTGGAGAAGCACGTGTCGTCGAGAGCCTCGCTCCGGCACCACCTGCACCTAGGGTTCGAACCGCATTCGGATCTGGTGCCCATATCCCCGCAGCCGCGTTTCGGGTCGACCCGATCGGCGTTCTTCAGGGTACTGGTATTCGTATCGGCCGCGCGTGATTTTTCTCGGCGGATTTTGTTCCGAGCTACGGCGTCCGCAGAAACCGCCGCCGCCACAGATGGATTGGGGATACGGGTCAGAATTGAAATTAGACAGAGATATAGGGCGAGAAATTTAAGGACGGCCATTTGATTAGAGCGTGAGAAGTGAGAACAGTAGAACACAGCAGAGCAGAGTGACAAAAAATATTGACTGAAAATCGAAATTGTTGAAAATCTTGGGTTGAATCTGTAATTTTGAGAAAAGTGAGATAAAAATAGGAAAAAGATAAAATAAATAAAAACAACTATGGCCCATGCAGGTCTCGAACCTGCGACCTTCGCGTTATTAGCACGACGCTCTAACCAACTGAGCTAATAGGCCAGATGTTTAGTAAAGTAATTTATTGTGTTTTTCTTCATCGTCAACATCGAGCCCATAACCTGAACAGACATAGGGCCTAGGGATTCCTTCTACGCTTCCTCTTTTCTCCAATAATTTTTGAACTCTTTGATATCCAGATGACTTGCTGATTTCATTTGGGTTTGCCGGTGATCGGCTTCCTCTGTTGATCGGATTTCAAGATTTTCGAAACGAGGGTAATCGCCCGATCTTACTGCCGTTTAGTCCTCCTCCTTATTTTCCGACCGTGGTAATTATTTTCCGATCATACTTTTTTTTTTTTTTTTCTCTAATTAGGGTTTTGGATTATTGGGCTTAAGTCAAGTTGTTTGCTTGATCACTGAACTGATGAGTGCGCGATTATGATGATTTTCGTTTCCATGTAACTTTGGGGGGGAAAAGCTATGGCTGTACTCTTTTTCCCAACTTCTAATGGAGGTCAATTGACAATAAATAACTTATTTTCT